GGGCTGTCACTGAGACTATTGTCCCTCGGGAGACACAGCCCATGCAGATGGGCGCGAGGTGTCCCCAGCCAACTCGCCACCCCGAGGCCCCGCCCCAGCACCGGGGCCCTCGAGCACCCGCACAGTGCTCCTTCCCAAAGGACCGTATTTGAATTTGAGTAAATCAGCTCAATATGGTCTCGGACTGTGGGGATGAAATAAAAGGAGCCAGTGAGATCGCCAGACAATAAGCTCATTCAATTCCATCTTTTCTTCTCCCCCCATCTGGGGACTTGAATACAGTGGCCATGAATAAATCCTGTTGTGTAAAAAATGGGGGAGGAGGGCCCCAGAGTGGGGGGATGGAAGGAAATGGCAGGACGCCCACTTGTGGGGGTGAGGGGCTATCAGGAAGATGGAGAGAGGGCCCAGAACCCGAAAGGAGGCCTGGCCACGGGAGCAGGTATGGAACTATCTAGAACCTCCCACCCATCAACCCTTGCTTCTCTGCGGGGCCCGCGTCTCTGCAGGCTGCCCAAGCAGACCCCGCATCAGGGAAGCTGTGTCCAATGGGACCCCGAAGCCCTGTGGACCCTCTTCCCACCCCCACCACACCCCCCGACCAGAGCCCAGACCGTTAGGACTAGGGGCCGCCCACGCTCTGTCTGTCCTTCCGCTGACTTCTCCAAACAGAAGCCACACGCTTGACTCTCGGTGGCGTGGAAACCCCGTGCCCAGAGGAAGCGACTCGCAGGAAATCCTCCTGAGTGGCGCTGGGCCCAAGGAAAGCCGTGCCCTGGGTTGGGCTCACACATGGACATGGACGTTTCTTGAAGATGCTGAGCTCTGAGACACGGCCCCGTCCCCGGATCCCAAAGCCAAGTTCGCCGGAAGAACAAGCCACATCCGCATGGGCTGGGGTAGGATGGTCCCCCCCGGCCCAGGGTCCCACAGCCTGTCTGGTGGGAGGCACTGTCAGGCCACCAGCCTGCCTGTGTCTGCAGCTGCCAGACACAAGTTCTGATACCTCCTGTCCCTCGGGAGTCGGGCGATCACGGACTCATGGTCCCTCCTCAAAGTCACTCTCCCAGCCCACATGGCAGCCGGGCCGGGGCTTCCGAACTTCCCTCCCCCTCCTCTGCCGCCCAGGTTTGGGGGAGCTACTTTTCCTTTACACCATCGCACAGTGCAGGACCCAAAGCTTCCTTTTGTGGTGAGGGGCGCCCACACTGGCTGGTGCTGGGGATCAAACCCAGGGCTCCCGCATTCAAAGCAGCGCCCTATGAGCTGTCTCCCTGGCCCTAACAGGGGCACTATGTGGGACAGAAGCCACGGAGCTTTCTATGAACTATTCAAGATTCTTCCCCTCTTAGCCAAAATTGGAAAATAACCCAAGTGCCCTAGAACAGATGACCGGTTAAAGAAACTTTGGTACATCACACACACAATGGAATACTATGCAGCTGTTAGGAGAGATGAAGTCATGAACTTTGCTTATAAATGGATAGACATGGAGAGTATCATGCTAAGTGAAATGAGTCAGAAAGAGAGCGAAGGACATAGAAGGACTGCATTCATTTGTGGAGTATAAAACAACATAACATGAGGCTGACACCTGAGGATAGTAAGATACACGGGACGAAAGATTGCTCCATAGCTGGAATCCTGCCTCATGAGCAAAGGGGAGAAGGCAGCTGGAATAGAGAAGGGATCACTAAGAAAATGATGGCTGGAGGAACCTGTCGGGATGGGAGATGTGTGCAGAAAGTAGATACAGGAACAAACAGGATAACCTCTCAGGGTCTGTATTGCAAACCCTAATGCCCAAAAGTAGAGAGAGAGTATGAGGAATATTGTCCATCATGGAGACAGGAGGAGGGTAGGAAAGGGGGCGGTTTACCGGGAACATTGGTGGTGGGGAATGTGCACTGGTGGAGGGATGAGTGTTTAATCATTGCGTGATTGTAACCCAAACATGAAAGCTTGTTAACTATCTCACGGTGATTCAATTAAAAAAAATATTCTTCCCCTCAACCACTGTTCCTGTGGATTGTGGCCGCATGAGTACCCCAGGACCACCAGCTGTACTTACAAATAGCTACGGGCAGCCACGCATTGGCTGACACGTTTCCCATCCACCACGGCCAATGAGGGGGGACCGACTTACTCACTTATTGGTTTGTTTGTTGGTTGGTTGGTTTGGGGACCAGTCCGGCTATGCTCAGGACATAGTCCGGGCTCTGTGTGCTGGGATCACTCCTGGCAGGCCTCAAAGGGCCCATACATGGTACCCCGGGTCAGCTTCATGGAAGGCAAGAGACTTACCCACTGAGCTACCTCTATGATCCCAAGGGGTGATTTTGTTGCTGTTATTGTTGTTAAATTTAATTATTGTAATTTAGGTCACATATTTTCAGTAATGCTGACATCTACGATTTAAAAAAAAAAAAAAGCGATAGCACAGCGGTAGGGCGTTTGCCTTGCACGCAGCCAACATGGCCGAGCCGAGTTCGATTCCTCCGCCCCTCTCGGAGAGCCCGGCAAGCTACCGAGAGTATCTCAGCCTCGCGGCAGAGCCTGGCAAGCTCCCCGTGACGTATTCGATATGCCAGACACAGGAACAACAAGATCTCCAATGGAGACGTTACTGGGCCCGCTCAAGCAAATCGATGATCAATGGGAGGGCCTTTACCTTTACCTTTTTTTACCATTACAAAGTTGTTCCTGATTGGGTATCAGTCATACAATGTTTCAACACCCATTCCCCTACCAGTATACATTTCCACCACCAATATCCCTATTATCCCTTCTGACACCCCCCATCTACTGCTGCCTCCATGGCAGGCCTCTGCCTGCCTGCCTCCCCTCCCCCTCCCTCTCTCTCTCTCTCCCCCTCCCTCTCCCTCTCTCTCTCTCTCTCTCTCTCTCTCTATTCTGGTTCAGCAATACAGATACTGAGAGGCCATCATGTTTGGTCCTTTACCTACTTTTCAGCACTGAGGGGTGATTTTATTTGTGTGTTTGTTTATTTGTTTTTTTCTTTTTTGGGTCACACCCAGCAATGCTCATGAGTGACTCCTGGCTTTGTACTCAGGAATTACTCCTGGCATTGCTCTGGGGAATCATATGGGATGCTGGGACTCGAACCCAGGTCGGTCGCATGCAAAGCAAATGCCCTACCTGCTGCGCTACCGCTCCAGCCCCATGAGGGGGAGATTTTAAAGATAGCTTTCTGCACGCATAATTTACACACAGAACAACAACTCCGCCCTGTGAGCTACACAGCTGAGTTTTCACAAATGCCCAGAGCTCTGTAACCACCCCCACGCATAAAGGAAATCTTCATTCCAAGCACTTTCCTGTGTGGTCCCCCTGCCCCCGAGACTGAGCCACTGCTGAGTGGCTTCCCTTCCCGGGTCCTGTGTGTTTCTGTGTCACCCCCACGGAGGCCTCTGCGGGTTTCTGAATGGAGCGTCTTTCACTGCCTGCCGTGTGCGCCCCAGTGACTGACGGGCTTCTGTTCTCTACGTCCAGAACTTTGGCTCTTTTGTGGAGGAATCAAAACGACAATTGAAGAAACGACATTCTTGGTGCAGGGCCTTAAAACCAAGGCCTCGGGCGAGGAGACTGAGCCACTGTCTCCATCTGCCTGGGCTCCGAGGACTTCCAGGGCCAAAGCCAGGCAAGTCCCAGGCACACCGGAGGGCCGGTTCGGTCCCCTGGCTGGGAAAGCGGCTTCTAGGCACAAGCCTGCCTGTCCCCAGGCTCAGACCCCCGCGTGGGTCCGCAGCCGCTCACACGTTCTCCCCGGTAGCCCACCGGCCTTTCTGTTTGATCGGCAGCAGATGCCACTTTGCAATTTGCCGGGGTGAGTCCCTGGACCCAGCGCCAAAGACTCCTGCCTGTGCCAGCCCGAGGAGGCGAGCACAAAGACCAGGCGCCTGTTTTGGACAGGGTGGAACAAGCCCCTGTGCTGTCTACTGTCTTCTGAAAGGCAGACATGACCCCCGGCGCCACGCATGGCTCCTGCTTTTGCACCAGTTGGCTACAACGCCGGACTCTGCACTATGCCCCTGACCTTTGTACATGTTCTCTCTACTCACTCTCCAATGGCACGGAGGTGGGGTGGGGTGGGTCGGCTACCTTGCTTTGAGATGACTAGAAGGAAAGATGAGGCCCAAGGGGTGGGAGAGAACAAAGGGGAACGCCCTGCCACAGAGGCAGGGTGGGATGGGGGGATGGGGGGTGGGAGGGATACTGGGACCCATGGTGGTGGAGGATGGGCGCTGGTGGAGGGATGGGTACTTATCATTGTATAACTGAAACCCAAGCACAAAAATTTGTAAGTCTACAACTGTACTTCATGGTGTTTCACTAATAAAAGTTAAAATTTTTTTTTAAATTTTTTAAAAAAGAGAGAGATGGAGAGAGAGATGATCAGCGTGGTGGGACCAGGACCCAGCTGTCCTCTGGGGAGCAAGTCCTCCCCCATCTCCCGGTTGGAAAAGCTGGGGTGCACATGGGCTCTCTTCAAGAAGCTGGGGGAGTCTGGAAGTGAGGAGCACCCAGCTCAGAGTCTCCCTGAGCTTTTAGAGAAACAGGCCAGGAGGCACAGCTGATGCCCAAGTGGACTCCCCCAAGAAGGCGGGCAACCCGTATGATCAGAATCGTGTGCCAGTGCATTGGGGGTTCAGTCACCCTGAATTAACGCTGCCCCTTCTCGAAGGACCTGCCGCAGCCCTTCCCCGTTACTCCCTTCCACCACTCCCCTCCCCGAGCCTGGGAGGCGGGTTAGTCGTCATTATCCTCGCTCCCACCATGAGGGAACAAGACTCAGAGATGAATCTGACTTGCCCAAGGTCGCGCGGTGCGTTAGTGGCAAAGGCCAAATTAGGAGCCAAGCTGCTGGGCGCCTGCATCTGTCCCTGGGTGCGGAGCAGAGGCAAAGGCAGGTCTGCCCCCGTCGGGGCCCTGGCGACAGGGCGGCGGCTGCAGAGGGACCCAGGCCCACGCATACTCACACGCGGAGGCCTGCAGGACGCGGCTGTGTCCCACCAGACAGCAACACCCCCGTGCTGGAAACAGACAGAAAGAAGGCTCAAGTCGCGGAAGCAGGGGTGGCACTGTGGCCCCGTGTCACTGCCAGGATGAGGCGGGAGGCTCCGGTCTCTCCCTGACGCAGGGCTGCTTGGGAGGGCCAGGAAACGGGACAAGGCTGTGCCCGTAGCGAGGACTCATTCAGACATTCACTCGGCAACCATGTCCCCGGCACCTGCTGTGTGCTGGGCAGTGTCTTGGGGGGCCGGGTGGGGCAGGGGACTTGGAGGAGAGAGACAAGATCGCCATCTCCAAGTTTGAGTGAGAGGGGGAATATTGATTCGGGTGAGCCTCAAGCCTCCTGGGTTAGACTTGAGGGGCTCTGGTAGAAACACAGATGATTTCTCTATCCGCAGGTTCTGTCTTGCATGATACAGGGATGTCTGGCGTCAGCTGAATCTGAAGATGTGTGACCCTGTGGCATGGAAGCCAGTCAGCTTTTTGTTTTGTTTTGTTTGTTTTTATTTCTGGGTCACATCTGGCAATGCACAGTGGTTATTCCTGCCTCTGCACTCAGGAATTACTCCTGGTGTTACTCAGAGGACCACGTGGGATGCTGGGAATCGAACAGGGTCGGCCACGTGCAAGGCAAACGCCCTACCCACTGTGCTATCGCTCCAGCCCCCAATGGATGCCAATTTTAGGGGGCTTAAATACCAGTGGACTTGAAACCAATTCCACAAATACCAAGTGGGAAGTCAAGGTCTGAACAGATTTCACTGCGAGGGCATCAGCACCCCTAACGCTGGACATGTTCAAGCATCCACAGGACATACAACTCTAAGACAGTGTGATGGTAATTCAACCAGACTGGCTGACAATCTGCAATGAGCTGGGCAGGACACAACAGGAACTGGGCGGAGGGTGGAGGGGGCTGCCTGGAAGAGGAGGCATCTGGATTCCAAAGGCAGAGGAAGGACCTTCGCTGAGCTGCTATAAGGAAGGAGTCTAATTTATGAGAACAACAATCTCTCCTTTGGCCATCCGGTTCTCATGACTACATACTGTATCCCTTTCTTGACTTCGAAGCGTTGCTTTATCTTGTTATAAACTTTTGTTTTTTGGTTTTTGGTGGTTTTGTTTTGTTTTGTTTTGCTTTTTGGGTCACACCCAGCAATGCACAGGGGTTCCTCCTGGCTCTGCACTCAGGAATTACTCCTGGTGGTGCTCAGGGGACCATATGGGATGCTGGGAATCGAACCCGGGTCGGCCGTGTGCAAGGCAAACACCCTACCTGCTGTGCTATCGCTCCAGTCCCTTGTCATAAACTGTTGTGGGGGGCCACACTGGGCGGTGTGCTGGCATCAGACCCGGGGCCTGGCATGTGCCAGTGCTCCCCCAGGGAGCCCCCCCCCAGAGGTTTGCCCTCCGTGGGGGTCAGGGCCTGTCTCTGACTGGGAGGGACAGGTCCTGTGTTCCGGGGGGTGGCTCTGGGTTCCCTCACCAGGACTGGAGACAAGTTCACACAGAACCCCTGAGAACTGAATTCCTCCCATGTCTGCCCCTACTCCCTTTCCCACCGCGCCTGCCGATCTCCCGTCCCTGACAGGAAATCGGTTGTATTTATAAGCATCCCAGCCCTCTCCTGACCTTGGTTGGGCGCCCCACGTTCCCGCCCTCATTCCCCTCTCCTCAGGACACATCCTCCCCCAGAGATTTCTCGGCGTTCACAGAGCCAACGCCACGGGCTCTGAAAGACAGCCTGAGTTGTTTTCTCGGCGGGGAAACTGAGGCCCAGAGTGCTCTGCCACTCGGCGCAAGGAAAAACCACCCAGGAGTCTGTCTGCCGAGTCACCGCTCACAGCTCTGCGTCAGGTCGCGGCTTGGGCCCGAGACAAACAGGCCTTCCTCCCTCCACTCTTGCAAGGCACTGTCTGAGAAGGACAGACGTCTTGGGAGAAGCAGTTCCCATCATTAAAGGGGCCGGGGAGAAAACTGGCATGATTTCCGGCGCTTTGAAGCCTGTTGGCCCCTCCTGGCCCTTTAATTGTGCTTGGAACCCGCCCAGTTCGCAGAGCTCCCAGGACCTGCAGGAGAAGGGCCCAATGCAGAATTCCCCTCCCGGCCTGCTTTCTCAGCCCCCAAGGTGACCCCAGCCACGGGCTCCCACACAAAGAGCTTCAAAGTCAGGAGGACTCGGGGTCAAGAATAACACACAGCACACCCCGAGCTTAGGATTCCAGAGCCTGGGAGACTCCCCGCCCGGCTGCCAGTGGCCTCTGAAAACCCTTCAGGTGAGGTGCACAGAGGCCGGGCAGGTTTCACGCTGCAAGACTCTTCCCCTCATCCACTGTCCCCGTGGACTGTGGCAGCATGAACACCCCCAGGGCCCCCAGCTGTACTTACAAGTGGCTATGGGCATTGGCTGACACATTTCCCATCCACCTCTGGCTTTGCTTCCCCAGAGCGGGAAGGGGTGTGGATAAATTACATTTCCGTGGTCCTCTGCTTCAGATGCACAGTAGAAGCACCTGGAGTTTTCTTTCTTGTCTTGAAAGAACCAATCCCTAACCTGAGACCCATCAGAATTCCAAGGCACTGTGGCTGCGGGGGTGTGGCTTAGCTACCAAAGCAGCTGTTCTGAGTGTGAGGCCCCGAGTTTGATCCCCACCACGAGACAGACACAACAGAGGATCTTAGGTGGGGCCTCTGTGCTCAGGGCTGACTCCTCAGGCTCTGTGCTGGGGGATCACTCCCGGCGAGGCCCTGGGGACCAGATGGGATGCTACAGGGTTTCAACCTGGGTGGGCTGCATGCAAGACAAGTGCCTTCCCTGCTGAACTGTCTCTGTGGACCCAGTGTCCTGGTTCTAAGGCTAAGAACCACTGCCTCAAGGAGAGTGAGCTCAGAGAGACGTGAGCCCCGGCGCCCCGAAACAAAACCCACGATGATTCCTCGGAAGGCGAAATGAGTATGATAATTAGTTTCTCTTTCGCAGACAGATCCCACGATTCCCATAAAAGTTTTCCAGTATTTTTGCTGGCCTGACTCTCTCCAGCCTGTCTTCTCTTTCCAGTTGCCTAGACCCAAGTTCCCTCTCCTGGGAATCAGGGAATCAGACCCAGAAACACGGGGGAAAGAAGGGTGAGCCTTCCAACCAATAACCGCGATCCAAATTAAACTGATTATCTCAACTGCCCTCGTGTGCATCCAACTGTGAGGCAATTCAGGGAGCTTCCGCGAGGCTGTTCCAAGTGCGATGCTCAGATAGTAGGTCAGTCCCGTTTGGCCCCGTCTTGCACTCACCAGCTGGAGGAGCCATAGGAACCAGAACCCCTGCTCACGTGGCATGAGCTCAGCCAATCGCTGTGGCCACAGAGATCCAACTTCTGGAGCATGGAAAATGTGTAAACACCCCAGGATGGGAGCCTTCCCGGGTGCTTTAGTGAGCATGCCACTTGCTTACACACTCCAAAGGATTGGCGGTCAGGACAGAGCAACAACCCTCCCCTCGCTTTTTATGGCTCTCATAAAAGCACCATCACTCTGGGAAAACACTCAACAACAAATCTCTCTCCCCTCCACCCCCCAATCACCCTCCCCCACCCCAGCTTCCCTTTTTTTTTTTCTCATGGGAGTACCATGGAGTGTCTTAGAATGGTTTAACAGGGAGCAGAAGAAAGCCTTAGAAAGGTTCTACAGGAGACCCAGGATGGTATTTCATCACCCCCCACTTCAGTTCCAGATCTCTCTTTACACCTGACAAAATAAAGCACAGTCAACTGAAAACCTGCCAACGACTGGCTGCTTCTGGATTAAGGAGTAGATCATAGAGTTGGAGGACTGGGGGATGGAGAAACAGTCTCATCTCCACCAATGGCTTTATTATGATTGACAAACCCGAGTGCTTGGCTCCAGGGGCAGAGTACATACATGCCTTGTATGTGTGAAGCCCTGGGCTCCAGCCTGCTCTCTCCCCAGCAGTGCCAAGGGTGGGCCCTACAGCAGCAGCAACTGCTACAAATTGCAGAGTTGAGAAAATAGATTTGTTTGGGCTCTGGGGACACGACTGAGGCAGACAGTCACCCACCTGGGAGACGCAGTGCTCATCAGGGAGGATTTAAGGATGAGACACTGTAGCACCGACTTTTAAAAGTATCATCACAGGGGCTAGAGCAATAGCACAGCGGGTAGGGTGTTTGCCTTGCACGTGGCCAACCTGGGTTCGATTCCCAGCATCCTATATGGTCCCCTGAGCACCACCAGGGGTAATTCCTGAGCGCAGAGCCAGGAGTAACCCCTGCGCATTGCCAGGTGTGACCCAAAAAGAAAAAAAAAGTATCATCACAAACAAGAATCCCCTGCCAACCTTCTGAAAGTCCCAGGAAGTCTTGCTTTTTCACTCGACTTGATTAAAACCACTCTACCTAAGCATACCTAAGCCTATGCCATCTTACCTTTAGAAAACAAACAGAAAGCCCTTCTACCCACAAGAGCCTGCGGATTCAAGAGTCGCGGGGTGGAGCAGACTGGGGTGAGATGTGCTAGGTTTGGCACAGAGCTCAGTGAGCATTTCACATACTGCATCTGCTGCTCAAGAGAATTTGGGCAATTCAGTGGGGGGCGGTGTTGGAAGGATCCCCTAAATTCCTCAGCCAACAGGTGCAAAGTATTAGTAGCATTCACCTATGAAATGTGAAGATTTTTCTTCAAACACTAGCAGATCTGTTGGGCGAGCCTCTGCAGGACTGATTATTCTCAAATACATTCCCCTCACACTGTGTTTTGCTGCATAAGGGTGATGCCGAGACAAAGGTTATCAAGAGCAGAAACATGCTGAACTGAAAATGCTGTTTCTTTGGTCAAGAAAAAAATTTAAAAAAGAGCCCTGAACTGATCTTCCAGCGCTGCAGAGATTTTACAAAAAGAGTAGAGAAAAAAGGTGAAGAACAGGGGTTTTTTTTCCCCTCTGGGACAGAGCCAAGCCCACCTCTGAAAGCAAAACCCACATGTTAATAACGAGGCATCTGGAAAGACCCCCAAATGCCATCCACCACGGATGCCAATAGAAATCAATGAATGCACAGCTTTGAGGATGCTCACCCCAACCCCCCTATCGGCTTCAACCTGGAGCTAACAGCCCGCCGACCCCAGCAACCAATACTTCTAGCCTGTGTGTTGGTGCAAGAGGTAAATCCAGTCCTGTAATTCCCCCTTGAGGGTCCCTCCCAGAGAGGAGGAGGCCCAGAAGCTGGAAGGGAAGGGCCAGTGGCTTCTCAAATGTTCTCCAAGACAGAAGGGGGCATTCACGCATGCACGCACACACAACACATACAAAATAATGAGATCCGGGGCCAGCTCCGGCAGCAACCAAACCACCCGCGGAGTAACTTGGGAGATTGCGGGGTGGGCTTGCAGGCTGTCTGCGCCTTCAACCCTGTCTCCCTTCCACCCCCAGAGGCCGAGGATGCTCAGGGCTGAGACACCCCCACCCCTCCCCTCCTTCCCACGCGCGGCCGAGTCTAGCATTTGGGTCTTTCCCCAGGTGCCCCGGATGAGAAAAGGGCAGGGAGGGGAAAACAAGCCGCGGCTGGTTCAGGGATCGCAAGCCCGGCCCCAAACATCCCTTGATGTTGGCTTCGGAAATGAGAAACCAGCTGGGAGGGGAGATTCCTTGGGAATCGGAGCGCTCTCCTTTACGACTCTCTCCCACGGGAACGCAGATACCAGGCGCGTTTCCTCTCGCAGGTTGGGCAGAAAGCAGCCCCCCCCGAGAACACGCAAGAGGCTCCCCCCGCCCAGTAAAGGAAAACGGGGCTGAGAAGGTGCTTCCCTCCCCCTTCTTTTTCCCCTGCTTCATTAGCAAGTAATCTGGAAGCCGGCGTCGGGCGCTCCCTCCCAGGGTCTGCACCCTCCGCGCCCGGCTGTGGGCACCCTCACCGGCCCCTGCCCAAGTCGAAACTTGCGGGGCTGCGCTCTGGGCTCCGCGCGTTCCACCTGCGAGGCATCCCCGTCGGAAGCCCCGTGCCCGGCTCCCCTGCCCGTTCTGGGGGGAGTAGGTGGGTCCCGAGCAGGTCCCCGGGTAGGAACTGGTCACTGGAGCTGCCTGCCCGGCCCAGGGGCCAGCCGCGCGCCGCAAGCGCGCTCCCCAACGCCGTCCCGCACAGACCCCCAAGGGCCTGTCCCGGCGGCGCGGCACGGCTTCGAAGGACCGCGCCCAGGGCCCCCGGTGGCCAGGGCTGGCTAGAAGAGCCCTGGGGGTCGCCAAGAGCTCCCTGTCCTCCAACAGGTGAGCAGCTTGGCCACCCCGAGCCCCGCCGACGGTGGCGCCAGGGAGCATCCAAGCGCCCGGGACGCAGCGGCCACCTCGGGAACCCGCGGCCCGCGGCGCCCCAGTGGCCGGGTGGACAGTCCAGGTCCCGAGCACCTGAGCCCCCCGCGGGTCGTGACACGTAGGCAGGGGCGCGCCCCCGGCGCTCACCTTTGTACCGCTCCATCGGGGCCGGGGCGTTGCGCTCCTCGCGCCGCGGCTCGAGCCTCGGGTGCTGCGCTCTGGGCTGGGCGCCCCGCCGGCCGCGCTGGCCCCTCCCCGTGAGGTCACGGTCGCGGCCGCCGCGCCGACCGACCTCCTGCCCCGCCCGCCCCCCGCCCTCGGACCCCGTCCCCGCCCCGCTCCGCCGGGGAACTCCACGGCCGCCGCCGCCGCCGCCGCCGCGCGCACCCGGGGCCGCGCTCCCCGCCCACGGCGCCCGGCGCGGCCCAAAACGTCCGGAGTCCGGGGGCGGCGAGGGGGGAGCGGGACTCGGACGCGCCCCCGCCGCGCGCCTGCGGGCCCACTGCTCGGAGGCGGAGACTGAGGGCCCCAGCGCGGCAGGGACGGCCGAGAGCGCCTCCTAGAGACCTCGGGCCCCCATTTTTTCTTTTCTTTTCTTTTACTTTTTTACTCTTCCCCTTCCTCCAGGGCCCAAAGAGGATGGGTTAGCCAGCCTCGGATTCCTCGGGACGCGCTCCCACTCTCTTGCGACACACTTCCGGCGTGTGCCCACGTCTCCTTGCTGCCCAGGTTCTCCGGGCCGCCCTGGGAAGGGCTGGGATTTCTTTTTCTTTTGTTTTTTAGGCCACACCCAAGTTGTGCGCAGGGCTTACTTCTAGCTCTGCGCTCAGGGATCACTCCTGGCGGGCCTGGGGGCAGGGGAGGCGTGTGCCGTGCCAGGATTGAGACCCGGGCTGGCTGCATGCAAGGCCAGTGCCCTCCCCCTGTCCTGCCTTTGGGGCTGGGATTTCTCGGGTGCCTGCCTGGAGCCCCAAGCTCAGGGGCCAAAGCAGAGTGCACCCCTCCTGGGGTGGGACACTTCCCTGGGGAGCCCAAGGTGGTCCTCACCCACCTGGCCCACAACACCCAAGGCCATTCTAGGTTCTCTACACACCCACAGCCTTCCCAGAAGTGCCCCGAGAGGAAGTCATGTGTCCTTGAGATGCCCCAGTGTCTACTTTGAAATCTCCATCAGGGTTGGGCCCCACAGCAGATTTTCAGCGTGCCTCTCCTTTTTTTGTGGAGGGGGCTTCAGCTGGTGGGGCGGGTTGTTTCTGCTCTTGAATAAAACTCTTGGGCTGGAGTGATAGTACAGAGGGTAGGGCGTTTGCCTTGCACGCTGCCGACCTGGGCTCGATTCCCAGCATCCCATATGGTCCCCTGAGCACCGCCAGGAGTAATTCCTGAGTGAAGAGCCAGGAGTAACCCCTGTGCATCACTGGGTGTGACCCAAAAAAAGCAAAAAAGTAAAAAAAAAACTCTCAGCCCCTTTTTTGGATCCGCCGAGCTCAGTTTTGACACTTAAAGAGCTGCTGGACTCTTATCAGCCATGCTTCAGTGCTCTTGGCTGGCCCCACCCTGCCTGAATGCCACCCCTCCTCCAGGCCCGAGGGCTGGGGATTTCAATCCTGATGTTGAAGAAGCAAACTTAGAGACGCTCACCGCTCACCCAGAGCCACACAGCGGGCATTACAGCCAGTCCCGCCTGCTCCTGGACGTTCCTGAAGCCTTTATTGCCAGGCTACGGATTCCTCCGCCCCTCTCGGAGAGCCCGGCAAGCTACCGAGAGTATCTCGCTCGCACGGCAGAGCCTGGCAAGCTCCCCGTGACGTATTCGAGATGCCAAACACAGTAACAAGTCTCACTATGGAGACGTTACTGGGCGCGCTCGAGCAAATCGATGAACAACGGGAGGACAGTGCTACAGTGCAGAGTCGCACCTGGTGGAGAGCCAGGCACGGGGCCAATGGCGGCACAGCCAGGCAGGTGCTTTTTGTAAGATCGAAGCTCTGGGGTTCCAAGAGCCCAATGCAACCCCCTGGAGAAGCTTCTCGGACAGTGATTTTCAGCTACTGGGAAGTCCGCAGGTGTGATCAGGTTGGAAACCACTGCCCTGCCACCAGTGTTCTAAGTACCAGTCCAGGTCTAAGAAGGCTGCAGAACACTGTTCTGGAAGGGGATAGGGCTGAACTGTGTCTCACAGGTGAGACAAGAAGCAGGGAGGCAAGAGGAGAGGCAAGACTGAGGGGCTTCTGGGCAGATAGGGCAGAGGACAAGGCCAGGAGATGAGGCATGTGGGGGTGATCAGTGCTGTGTGCCAGAGCCAATGGGCAGGAGGGCTGGGGTAGGACCAAAGGGTGGGGTGCAAACCGGGTCCAGGGCCCAGAGTATTGCTTGGCAGTGAAAAATGTGGGTGCCTGGGAGCCCCTTTGAAGGCTCAGTGAAGGATGGGGTGCAGGAAGCGATGGCGGTCGGGGGAGCCCGATGGGGAGGTGAAGGCAGGAGGCAGGAGCCGGGCAGGACCAAGCTTAGAGGGGCAACAGGTGTGTGGACGGAATCAGACAGAACAGGGTCTGCGGGGGTCTGGACCTGAGACCTTAGAATCCGTGGCCGCTGTTCCATCGACTCCTCTCAGCTGTTCCTGCAGGGGCGCAGCCGAGGTGGTTTACGCAATAGGAAGAGTGAACGCCACGGCCAGCATGCCAGCATCAAAGGGAAGGAAATGCTCCTGGCGCCTCTGGGGAGCCGGGCCTGGACAAGGGCCGGGCGAGGGTGCCCATGTGCTGCGTTCTCTCTGTGGCCCGCTCTCCCACCGACAGCGGCTGTCCGCAGGTTCCACCCGTGGGGATCGGGGACGCCCTTCACCGTCTCAGGGGGCGTCTGCTTGTACACCTCTGCAGGGCCAGCAGGGCGAGGTCTTGGGGCCCAGCCCCCACTCGCTGCAGACCTCAGAAGGGTGATTTGGGATGCTGCAGTCACTGAGGATATAGCAGGTAGGAATAGAACCATCTCCAGCTGGGATAGCTCAGGGCAAGGTCTCATGCAGCCAACTTCCTGTGGGGGCCCACCAGTGGCCATGGGCATTTTCTGGACCTTTGGGGAGCCCATGACTACTCCTGCCAGTGGCCACCTCTTATAAGAGGAGGGGAGCCACACTCTGCAGTGCTGAGGGGCTGCACCCAGCTCTGTGCTTGGTCTCTGCCATGTCGGTCAAACTGGGGCCTGCACATACCTATCGATTCTCTCCGGCCCCACCATCCTTCACAGCTGCAGAAAGGACACAGCAAGTTGCTCTCCTCTGCCCACAGCGGTCAGCCTGCAGAAGACCCTGCCCCCAGGGTCTCCAGGCCCAGGCCCTGCTCTCGGCCAACAGGCTGCAAAGGTCAGTCAGTGAGATGATACAGTGGTCACTGCTACAGCCCCTGGTCCACCTGGGTCTGATCCCCAGCACTACCAGAGCCCCACCAGGAGTGATTCATGAGTACAGAGTCAGGACTAAGCCCTGAGCACCACTGACTATGTCCGCCCCAGACAACAACAACAACAACAACAAAAGATACCGGAAAGGAAATAGCAGCTTATGGAATGTGGAAATCTTGTCCTTTCTTGGGTTTTCTTCAATAAAGACTCAAGTCGAGAAAGCCAAAAATAAAATGAGAGTCAGGTTTCCGGATTCCAAACCCAGAGCTTTGTCACCCCCTTCCATTCGGCCTGTCCTGCCCACCCCCAAAAGCACTTCCTGTAACTCAGGCCCTCCCTGCAGGCTGGGAGGCTGACCCCATGGGGCCCCCTGTCTGCCTCTGGCCCCTTTCCCTTTGCTCCAGCCTCTCTGCCGACCTCTCCCCTAAACTCTCTCTAGTAGAGATTCCCTGGAGGCTCGGCAACTCCAGAGCACTCTAACGGCTATTTCCACGGGGGATTGGCCACTCGCTCCAAGAAGGAAGTCGAAACTCTGCTTCCAGCCAGCCAGAGGAGTTTGGACCCACTGGGAAGCCGCTGGCCCTCTCGAGCCGGGCCTGCAGCCCAGCCCACTGTCCTTAGCTGTTTCCCAACTTCCAACCAACAGGCCATGCGCCTTCAAATCCCAACTCAGCACATTCCCGTCTCTGGTCGATCTTCTGCTGAATTTTCCACCCTCTGAGTGCTAGGATTGAATTGGGATCATCTGAGGTGGGTGCCCCCAAAACAGAATGAGCCCCTACCCCGTCCCCTCCCAAGTCTAGGTCTGCATTCCCCAGAGTGAGCGATACCAGCCCCTGAGAGCCCCCGGAATGATTCAGGGTAGGGTAGAATCCGAGGGTACATTTTGGGGACACTTATGTTGTCTTCCTCTAAGGACGGGATGGTAGAAATCTCGGGTGGGGAGGGGCAATGAGTGACTTCTTTCTGAAAAAGGCGCTGTAGGCTAACTCAGTTTGAGGGACCTCTGGTCTAGTGGGTGATTCTAGGAGGCAATGGCTATGTGGGCGCTTTCGTGTGACCCCCTCAGTGCGTGGGAGCACTGGTCACTGAGCACAGCAGGCCTCGTTCAGTGCTAACCCAGTTCTCAGCAGCAGCAGCAAAGTTTTTCTCCCCTGCTCCGAAGGGAGAGAACCAGGAGGAGGGGTGCCCACGGAAGAGGGTCTCTGGATGCCCCAATCTGCTTCCATCTCAGGGGGACCCAGGAGCAGATGGCTCCTTCCTTCCATGCCAGAGACTCAGGCCCCTGGGCCCAGGTCATGGCGGGGTGGCCGGAAGCCATCTCTGCTCTGGTCTTAGTCCCGACCCCCCAGATCTGTAATAGTCAAGTCAAAACCCTGAGGAGAGGTCGTCACTCTCCGCCCGCCTCCTCAGCAGCTGTCCCCAGGCCCTCAGGCACTCTGTCTGTTCACACTGGAGGCTCTGTGCTGTGCGGGGTCTCTGTCCTGTCCCGGGTGTCACGGAGGAGACCCACACGGAGACTGTCTCCATGGGCTGCTGGGTGCATAAAGAATCGACTATTTCGCTCTTCTCTCTCTCTCTCTCTCTCTCCTCTCTTTATACTGTGTCCTCTCCTATCTTCTCTCTCTCTTTATCCTATCTCCTCTTTCTTCTCTCTTCTTTCTCTGTCTCTCTGTCTCTGTCTCTCTGTCTCTCTGTCTCTCCCCCCCCCCCCCCCCCCACTCGGCACAGACTGATGAAACAAATATTACTGAAAGACATACAAGGTCCTGGGCAGGCTGAGGCCAGATGAAGCGGAAGGATGATGTGGCTTCTGAACTAAATCTTTTGTGATTAAAATATCTAAGACATAAAACTGACCGCTTATGAGGCTGGAGCAATAGCACAG